AGTTACACTGACAGGACGTTCTTCAGAGCCAGCTCCGGCTTCCCCACAGGGAGCAGCCCCGGTGTCACAGCTGCATGGCAATACTTGGCTCGAGCAGCCTCTTAGGGAGGCCATGGGGAGCTGCGATCTCCCCGAAAATACAGAACCGAGCTCTGAAGCCAGCTGGAAACCAAAAGGCTCAAAAGTGCAGAGGCAGGCCACTGTCAAAGAGTTGCCCCGGTTGAGGGGTGACCTGATGGGTTCCCCTTTCCCCCATCACTCCGGTTCCTCCTCGGGCCCCCGGGAGGTGCTACTGCATTGGAGGATGAGGGCAGAAGCCAGCCTAGCCTCTCCAGAACAGAGAAAGTGAGAGCTTTGAGCATCATGAACAACGAGATAAAAATAGCAACATTGCCATGGCAACGAAGGCTGGGAGAGTCCTGAGGATCTGGTCTGGGTCTTGCCATCTCCCCCTCCAGTTTTCCTCTGCTCTGGCTTCTCTGACAGAACACAGGAATGAGCTGAGAGGAGGGAGGGGTGCCTACCAAGAAACCCTGGAACTCCAGGGCCTTGGCTGCCGTTTTGGGGGCTCCCGGCTTTTGGAATGTCTTCCTCAGCATAATACGTTTCTCCAGGGATGCTTGAGCCCCACACCTCACCCTCCTTGTCAGTGGTTCTGACCTCCCGGGCTTCCCAGTGAACAGCCAAGATTTCTGTTTCCTCCTCACGGTCTGTGGTTCTGATCCCATGGGAATTTAGAAAAAAGAGCCCAGGCAGGGCTGGCCGGAAGCCTGACAGAGTAGGCAGTGACCTGAGGGTACGACCCGGGTGTGGGTTCACTCTGACAAGCCACACCCTCTGCTCCCAGGTGGATTAGCAACATGGCCTTAGGGAACTGTCTGTACTGGAAATAGGGTGATGGTGGTGAAGGCTCTCTCTTGTTCTTGAGTCGGAGGGATGGGGCATTCCTTCTTTGGAAGCAGATTCTGGTGCTTGGCTCTGGCAGGGTTGTCAGCCCAGAGGAGCCCAGAGAACACAGAAGCCAGAGATTTCCTCCTCTGGTGAAAGCCCATCTTCATGGTTAGAACAAAGTGTCTGTCTCCAAAAATTCAAGCCACATCTGGCACATCTGATACCCTATGCCTTGCTGGGAGGTAGGGATGGGATGGGTCTTGTTGTCATCCTTTTATAGAGGCTGGGAGAGAGGAAGCAATTTGCGGAGGTCAGGAGTCAGCCATGGAGGAGCGCTGGGAAATAGGGGGTTGCAGCTCTTTAGCCAAAGACAGTCATTAGCCCACCCCACCACCACTAGCTGGTCCCAAACCACTGGGTGACATTCATGTTCAGTCCCCCGGCAGAGCAGACTGCAGCCTGAGGCACTTTTGCTTGCAGAAGGCAATGAATTGGGGTGGGTCAGTCAGCTTGGAGATGGGCTAACCAGCAGCTACGCAAAGGGAAGCCCATGGGTTATATAACTGGGGCAGAAAACCCACCCTTGAGATCCCATCTGCAAGGGGTGGTGTGTATATATGACAGAGAGCGAGACAGGAAATCACACAGGTGGCATTTGTGATGGTCTAGGCAGGGCCTGGAGTTGAGATGAGGCCAACACTTGACACTTTCTTTCTGGGGGCCAGGCTGCAGGAAGGAGGAGGCAGAGTGCAGGGGAGGCTGCTGGCAGCAGCTCCAGTTGCTTTGGCGCCCTCTCTCACCAGTCCCATTTCTCAGATCTACCACATCGTTCCCCTTTGCTGCACAAACAGAGCACGCCAGACAGGGCTCAGGAAATCTGCGGCCCCCCTGGTTCCACAGCCCGCAACCCCAACGAGGCTCAGCTTTTCAGAGGGGACCTGCAGAACATGAATGCAATCCTCTCCTTATAGTTGAGGAGACTGAGTCCCCAAAATAGGACGTGATTAGCCTGAGGTCACACCATGATCACTGTCCAGGTGGGGCTGGAATCCGGGAGACCTGGTCCCAGCTCAAGGCTCTCTGCATCCTGCTGTGCTACCTCATGCATATTTCAGATAATTAAATTATTGCTTTTTCCCTCCAAAATAATCCCTCTATATATTTCTATTGACCCATATGCTACATTCAAAAGTCACCCCCCCTAAATGAAGAAGGAAATGACATTCTAATAAAAAAGAAAAAGAAAAAAAACTTTGACCTGAGACAAGAAGCCCCTCCAGATCCCTTGGGCTAGGGTCCCTGACCACATTCAGGGCCCAAGAGCCTTCAATCTCTTTATCCCCCATTTGACAAGGGCAGAAATGGGCATGACAAGTTCTCCCTTTTATGGAGGAGCAAAGTGAGGCCTTGGGGGGCTAAGGCTCCCACCTTTCTACAGGAGGACTCAGTGCCACACTGCAAAAGGAAAGGCCAGACCCCTTCCTCAGAATCCTCTACTCCTGGGCCCCTGCCTCACCCCAGGAGCTCCCAGTCTCCACCTCAAGGTGGAGTCTGGGAGGGATTGGAGGAATGAAAGGAATTGGAAACAGGAGGCCGAGACAATCCCACCTGACCTCTGGGTGGGAGTGAGACCCAGGGCAGGACAGAAAACCCGGTGACCAGGCCCCGCCCCTTTCCTCAAAAGAACAGGAGGAAGAAAAACCTGGACTGGAGTTAGAGGCCCTGGAACACATGGTCTGTAGGCTGGGGCCACATCCACCCTTCCGGATGAAACCAACCTCTCCTCTGGGCAAGCCCGGGGCAGAGAGGTAGGAACTGGTCTCCAGACTGCCTCCCGAGATGCTGCCAAGGACGTGGGGACAATAGAGAATGGGGTGTCCTGCTAGAAGCCGTTACTGCCTCCTCTCAGGCCATTTTGGTTGCAGTATTGGCCCCTAACTCAGCTTCAAATGAAGACCAGACCACCAGCATGGAGGCCAAGGACAGCTGTCTGCTGGCACAGCTGGGCTTCCACTCAGAAATGCCTTGACCTTGAGACCTCTCCCATGTTCCCTTAGCAGGGCCTCAAGAGATCCAGTATCTCTCCAGAGCCGAGGGAGTTCTTCTCGGGAGTTCAGGGAGCCAAGAAGCTCCCTGAACAAGCTCAGCATCAACCCCTGCAACTGACAGCCGAAGAGGCCTGGTGGCAGCTCTGGTTCCCCTCCCCGCCCGCAAGCTCTCTGACCTTTCCTCCGGGTGAGCTGTGTGGTCAGGACACAACACCCAACACCTCTGAGTCTCAAGGATACAATTTCATCCTCCACCACAGCAGTGACTTCTCTGGGGCTTTAGCCTCCCAGGCAACCGCCAGGGACACTCATGGCCTGGATCTGGGCCCTCCGAGGCTGTGCTGCCCATCTCTTGGCCTCATCCAAGGCCTCCACTGTCCAAGAGGCTGAAGAACCAGGGAGCTTTTCTTCTGTCCTTTGTGATCCTATTGGCCTTTATTGCTTTTTTCTTGCGAGGACTTTTGTCTACAATTCTTTGGATGTAAAAGGAAATAACAGATTTTAGAAGACTGGGGTGAGGGGGCAGGGCAAACGATAGCAGGAGAGAAATCTGAAATTGTGCTCTAGCGTCACAAAGATGACCTGGATCCTATCAAATCTGCCAGAAGCCCAGGAAGTGCCCTGAGCAAGAACTGGAGAGGCAAGAGCCGCCAGGACGGAATGTGCCCTTGCTTCTCCCAGGCTCTGGAGAAGTGAACCAGCAGATGTCTCCCGCCTCCCTGATTGCCCGGAGAAGCCCACATTCCAAAGGGGGCACAAGGCCCCCTCTTCTGTCTAGGGGCCCTGACCTCCTCTGCCCAGATCCTGTCAGAAAGGTTATTCTGTCCCTGAGTAGAGGGGCCTGACTGTACCTGGGCTGAGTCATTCCTGTGATAAAGCAGAAGGCAGAGCCGCTGTAGCTACCGAGCCTGGGAGTGTCTCTGTGGCCGGCTCTGCTGTCCGCGCGGCCCTCTAGCACCTGAAGGTCCGGGCACAGTGACAGGATGAGTTGTATCAAAACTCGGGGAGGGAAGGAGGAAGGAAAGAAGGAAGGAAATGTTTTCTGCTCGCTTCCTATCTCCTGGAAATAGGCTAGGAGTAGGGGTGGAGACTGACCCTGAAGGTGGATGCTGGGGAAGATTAGGGGAAAAGTCAAGGAAAGTCCTAGAGGCCCCCTCCCCTCAGAAGTTCCCTTAAAGGCACCACATGCAAGCATTTCTCTCTCTGTGGGTTCTGAGAAGGCCGGTTAGACAAGGACAGGAGAGTTAAGGGAGGGCACAGCTCAGTCGGGAAAGGGCCCTTCCGCCTGCCCCAGAAAGTAGTTAGTCCCTGAGGAGGAGGGTCAGGGGCGGTGGAACAGCCCCGCCGGATGTGCTGCAGCCAAGGAGGCATGAAGTCAGTGACCAGAGGGGCCAGGGCTGGAGGGGAGGTTGTTCTGCTGTGTGTGCAGAAAGGAGAGCACAGGGACACCCAGCTGGCCACCCGCCTCTCACTGTCCACACTTTACCATCCTACTCACGACCAGCCTGCACACTCAGGCCTGGCTCCACCTGGCCCCGGGGAACGCTGGGAAAGGCCTCATTTCCCACAGCCGTGGGGGCTCCTGCCTGGGGTCCTGAGGACCCAGGAGAGACTCCACCCTGGGCTTGGAGGGGGCTCATCTCCACTTCCAATGGGCCCAGCCCAGCTGAGGCCTCTCCCAGGGTCAGGGCTGCTGGGCAATTCCCAGGCAGAGCAGCCAGTTTCCTATGCTGCAGTCTCTCAGGAGGGAGGTCACCCTTTGCAAAGTTCTGGAGCCCTCAGGCCAGGAAAGAAGTTTCACTCCTGGGGCCTCCCTGGGACTTCTTGTGTGGTTCCGGCCTTCCCCCGGGTGACAGGGGCCTCTCTCCACGGAGGCATCCAGGGGGTGAAAGCACCAAGGTCTGGGCGGGAGGCCCAGGCACAGGAGGCTGATGCCCTCAGCTTAGATCCAGTCAGGCCCAGCCGAGAAGAGTAGGGGGCAAATCCTGGCCCAAGCCTCGGCCAGGAGTGCACCCGAGACCCGCAGCCTGTGGTGGGCTGCAGAAGCGGCCCTGGTCCTGCTCACACTGCTGTTTCCCGTTCTCTGTGAACTTCCTCCTTCTTCCTCTTCATCTTGCAGAAGCCGTGGAGGCCACAGAAGCAGGCAAAAGTGAACTGGGGCATGCCCTGGGCCAGGCTGGGGGCTGCTCACCAGAGATCTGCAGGGAGTGGGGAGGGAGAGGGGGCAGGAGAGAGAAGCAAGCGGGGTTATCATTCCCAGAGCCTGCCCGGTCGGTCTTGTCAGAGTCACAGCTGCTCCCTGAGCCTCCCAGGCCCGGCTAGTCTTCTCACACCTGCTGTGGGAGGGGTCGTGGCCCCAACAGCCACTTTGGAACCTGTTTTCCTCATCTGTGTAGAGCTGTCATGCTTCAGGTTGGAGCCTGGGTCAGTCCAGGGTGGGGAACAAACTCCCAGCAGACCCCACCCTTGCTCCCCTCCTACACCCGCCCCCTCTGCCTCACCGCACGGGCTCACAGCTATGGTTGGGGACTGGGAAGCAGGCTGACTCAAACTCTGGCTGGTGCCACGGGCTTGGGAGGGAGCATTCCATTCACTCCTTTAGGTCACAGGTCTGATGATCCGAATGCAGGACTTTGTGGACCTTGAAGAAAGACCCTCATCCAGCCCAGCCTCGAACGTGACACCTAAGACCGAGTTAGGGCTTCCCCCTTCCCTAACAGTGCCCATGTGCCTGACACCCTTCCCCTTCGGGAATTCTACAGGGAACATAATGCACTGTCTTTGACTGCTCAGGGCAACATCCCATCCTCACGCAGAGGACAGATAGCAGCGAGTTCTTTTAGCCAACAGGCTGCTTTATTAAGCACCTGTGCTAGGCAAAAGGGGTTGGGAGGTACAGACACAGGGTGCAAGTACAATTTTTTGTCTGGTACAAAATTAAGTCCAAGGTAGAGGCTGAGGCTGATTTGCCCCACCTGGGTACACTGCCCCCCCACCCCTGGCTGACATGGCCCTCAGCACAGAAGGCAGGGCCCCTCCGGTGTGTGCGGCACTCTGGCTGGGGATGGGAGAGGGCATCGGAAGATGCACTCTGTTTGTGAGAGGATCCCTTTCTCCAAACACTCATGTAGGTCTCCCCGGCCTCGGCCACCAGCGGATTCCTCCAGCTCACTTCTCTGCCCTTCCGCCTGCCTGGGAGGGAGCAGAGCATATTCACGTCAGAGCCCTCAGAGCAGCTGGGTCCACAGGAGAGACCCCTGCACGCACCTGGGGCCTGCGTCCATCCTGGGCCTGGTTTGACTCATTTCTCTCTTTAGGAAGAACACGGGGGGGGGGCAGCCCAAATACTGAGAGGCAGGGGGCCGTGGAATAAGGACGCATGAGGCAGGGCCCTGGCCCCAAATGCTGGGCACACCTGTGACGTGTTTCTACTGTGTCTGAGGAAGCTGGTATGGCCTGAGTGGCGGCTCGTGGAACTGTCCACAGGTCTGGCCCACCTTGCTCCTGTGGACAAATTTCCTGCTTTTTCAGGTAGAGCAGAGGGCCCAGTGGCTGGCCCTCACCAAGCACAGTGCTTGCAATGCCTGCAGTGGGACCAGCTTTGTCGGGATTCTCCTTCCCCTCTCAGCACCCTGGTAATGCAGCTGCTGACTGTAATTTATAGGTGCGAGGCATTTCCAGTGACCAGCGGGGTGGGCAGGAGGCCTGGCTTGAGTCAGCAGGGGTGGGTAGACTGGTTTAATCACTTGCTTTCCAGCACCATCCACACACCCACTTTCCTGGAGTATATATAGAGAGCAGAAGCAATCTGTAGGATATATACATATTTAGACAGAACTGAGACACCCCTACTATATTTCTAGATCTATCTACTGCAGCTATCTCCCGTGACAAACCTAGAGACAGGTATCTAAACTGGGTCCCTGGCGGCCTGGGTTCTATTCCTGGCTCCGACACCAGCATGCTGTCACTGTGGGGAAGTGGCTGTATTTCCTCATTTTATTGTACCAGGAAGCTAATCAAGGTCTAATACTTAGATCCCAGACCCCTGGGAATCCTAGTCTGATCGGGAGGGAGGGAGACCAGGTGGGTTTAGTGCACCTCCGCTGCCGGGACGTGTGTGTCAAGGGCACTACCCACACAGCATCCCCGTGATTACCAGGAAAATATCTGGGGTAAAGTCAACAGAGTGGATCTGGGGCAGGGACTCATAATGAAAACAAGCCGGGTGAGTCGTTTAGACCATCACTCGCCACTCACTCCCCACCCACCCCACGCAGACCAGGGTCAGGGCAGGGTCCCAGGGTGCAGAGACCCAGTCCCCTCTCCATCCCACCTCCCCTCCAAAGCCAGTTCTGAAAAACAGCAAGATGTGCGTCCTGAAGGGACATGCCCACTGGGCTCCTTTAGGAAGGCGAGACCATCCTCAGGTTTTGGCTCACTGTAGGGAAGATTCGGGGGAGGGTAGGAGCTGGGACCTATGCTGCAGAGAACAGGGGGCTCGGTGAGCAGCCTTGGGCTGCAGTCCGGCTCCCAGAGCCCCCCAGAGCTGCCCACTGCACGGGGATCCTGGGCACCTGCCTCTAAGAACAGAGAGGACAAGGGCCTGGTTATCCCACCCAGGTCTGCGATCTGAAACGCTCTGGGTAGACTCTCACTTCTCCACCAGGGCCTTCCCCGCCAGGGGCACGACTCCAGGCCCTGGAGTTGCTCTGGACTGTCCCTGGCCAGCACCAGAAGAGAATGGGGGGGGGGGGAGGCAGGGCACACACATGGGCAGAGAACCCCTTCTCATTTTAGTCCTCAGGATCCTTCGGCCCCCACCAGCAGGTGCGTGGGGAACCTCTGCCAGGGCTGTAGTCTCTGCTTTGCTCCCTTGACCTTTGTCCTTTCACTTGGCAGAATATTCCAGCACTACCTGGAGGGCTCCCTGGGGAAATTGGATCTCGACGAACCTCCTCTGGCCATGTTCACTTGAAGGGAAAGGGGTCTGGATGCCAAAATGGATGGACCTGGGTGCACTGCCAGCTCATCGTGCTCACGACCAAAACTTTTCCTCCTGCCCTGCAGTTTCCCCTGCACCTCAGTTTTCAGAGGTAAGAGACAGAAAAACAGAAGAGGAAGGAAAGGGAGGTGGATGTTGGACAAACCCCTGCTACCGCACATTGGCAACATCTGACCACAAGCCGCTGTTTCCTGACTTTGTCCCCAGCCTCCTCTCTGGCCTTCCCCCAGCTCAGGTCCAAGACGGCCTGGGCGTGGGGCACGGGGGGCTCTCTGCTCAGCCAGCCTGAGGGGCGTCAAGCAGAAGAGCCACCGACCCACAAAGCACCATCCCAAACCTCCAGGTTCCCCAGACTCCCTGCTGACCCGTTCCCTTGGCTCTTACCCCCACATCTCCCCTCTCTGCCAGACACTTTCCCGGGGTCCTCCAACCCTAAAACCGCCCGTGAGAATGGGGCGGTGGGCCAGAGATTGCTTCAACACGTGGAAGAAGCAAGAGGAAGAGACTCGGAGCAGGCTAGACACTAAGACGAGGAGAGAGCCAGGACTCTGGGCTTGCAGACCACAAACTCCTGGCTGGTGTCTCAGATTTTGGCAATGTCCTCTGCTAAAGCAGGTGACACTGGGGGTTGGAAGGGTCGGAAGATAATTACAAGTGTTGGGACATGCTAGGAATTCTGACAAGAAAGAGATGTTGTTTCTCCCGCCCACCCCCCAACCCCTCACCTCCTAAAGCAATAGTTTCCAGAAAGGCAACCCCCCTTCAACCACCCCACCCCCATCCCAGGTAAAAAGCCAAAAGAAGTGACCCATGAGAGGGGGCGCCCTCAGCCTCTAGAACAATACTGAGCCCTCAGCCCCTCCCCAGCCCCCTCAGCAATTAAAATGCGAATTCACCTTCCCTCCCCGAGCCATTCATCACTGCGAAGGAAAGCAGCTGCGGCCTGGGAGACCGGATTTGGGGGATTAACTCGGGCGCTGGAGCAGACACGCCAGGAGGAATTAGAAAGGAAGGGGGCGAATTGGGTTTTCTCTCCCCACCTCCTCCCTCTCCCTCCGCCACCCAGCCCCACACCCCACCTCCTCCCCCAGAGCCTGGCCTCTGTGAGGTTTCTGGGAACTGTAGTCTCCACGACTGTGTGGATAAACAGGCAGGCCAAGGGTGGGTGGTGGCACAAACTACACATCCCAGGACTTCTTCCCTGAGTTGGCAGTGGCAAAGCTGGGCACAGTCCTCCAGTCTGAAAGAAGTCGGAGTTCTTCTTGGAGATTAACCCTTTCTTGGCCTGCTTGAGACTGAGTTCCGGCCTCTGGCTACCTGAACACCCTGCAATCTGCAGCCAAGGTCCGCTCTGCTTTCCATGGCATGCCCAGTCAGGGCCCCCTTGTTCCTTGCTTGCCTACCTATACAGAGAGAGGGGAAGCACCCCCCCCCACCTGTTGGGGTACAAGGGCAGCTACACATTGACCAGTGGTTCTGAGGAACTTGGGGCCCACGGGAGCTGGAGGGGTCAGAACATCAACAGTCTTGAAATGTCCTTACGCCCTGGCCCCCGGGGTGCCCCTGGCCTGCTTGGCAGAGGCTGGCCCAGCTAAGTCGGCATAAGCATGACTGGGACATCATGACCTGCAATGGCAGCTTGGAACCCGGGGATCCAAACTGTCCATTCCCGAAGGGCACCCAGAGGTCAACTGTTAGCACCATCCCCTTCTAAAGATGGAACAAACAGGCTTTTTTTTTTTTCCAATAGAAAGGGGCAATTTTAGCAGTCAAACAGCATTTCCACCAAAAATGGGACAAGTGCAACCAGAGACCCACTCGACTCTTGGTGTTGTTAAACATGGATGCACTTTCCCGAGGGAGGCCTTCTGCTGGCTGTCTCTGCGAGCTATGAAAAAGAGTCAGAATATTTCAAGTTTCAGCTGTCTGCAAGCAGGGAACAGGACAGACACAGCCCTCTGATCTGTGAGTCGTCGCGGAGAGAGGGCATAAGGCCAGCTTGCCTATTCAATTCGCTTCAACAATTACGTGAAATAAATTGCCCATCTCCTCCAGGCCTGCCTCGCTGGCAGGGGCCAAGAGACAAAGGACAGAAAGAACGGCATCTCTGTAACCCCAGACGCTCCCCAGGCCCAGGCCCATCAAGGTGGGACTATCCCAGATGAGTTGCTGAAATGCGGGCTCGCTCTTTTT